TCCGCATTTATATCCGACAGGCAAACAAAGCGCCAACTTGTGTGCACACACTTCTCATCATGCGGGCTCTTTGTACTGATTTATACCCTCAGTGATAAAATATTATGACATAACCTTTCTCAAAGAATGAAAAGGTGAATAAGAGCCGAGTTCTATATGCGGGCTCATGATGCTTCAGGTCCGACCCTCGACAGAGTGATTTCAATCAATGGACAGGAATCCGCAGAAAGTCCCAGCCCCTAGGGATTCGCCGAAATGATCTAGGGCGAATATCAGTCGGAGGAAGAAACTGATTCCCATCGGAGCTTGATTGACAAGCCAAGCTATACTGAGATTATTATCGGAGACGGCGGAAAATTGAATGCGATGATAGGGATTCCGCTCCCACGGTCGTCTCCGGGGCTGCCAATGCTTATCTAATTGTCTAGAGACCACGTCATCAGCAAGCCTGCATCGGCCAACGTTCTTTGTGTTCGGATACTCCTACCGAATGATATGTGCGTGACGCGGCGTTTTGAGTCGGCCGAAACTCGTAAGTATTGATGTTCGCTGCGGATCCCAAGACAGCCGTTGAGGCAAATTCTCATTTACCGCGTCCGAGCGAAATCCAATAGCATTAGTACGAGGCTCGAGTGAGGAGGGAAGACCAACGGATTGCATTCTAAAGTTTCTGTCCAATCCCTCCCGTTTTCCGAAGGATCGGATTCCCATCAAAGTTGTAGGGGAGCGACTAAGCCGTCGTCTGCGTAAATGCCATCGTATTGGCTTGTAAACCTCTTGTTATCCGCGGTCGAAATTCCGACGGTGTTCGTGGTTTGCCGAAGCGTCGTCCGAAACTCGCCTGTCGAACATTGTAACTACTCCAGAACGATTCGAAAATCCCATCGTTTATCGCTTTTCGTCTTCTTCTTTTTTTTCTCTCGTGAAAATCGACAGTAGTTTCAGTGAGTACGTAATGTCGTGAGGTTTCTGTCGCGCGATGCTCCTTATCGGCCAACTGCGAATCTGCAAAGCGCTGGCTGTGAAAAAGTGTGGACAGTTATCACGTTCGTCGCTTCATTCGATCGTTCTCTCGGGAAGGAAAGAGCCTTCCCTCTGACTGCGGATCCGATGCGATACTCTACTGCATTGAATGTCATGCCGTGTTGATGAGGAAGAAGAAGGAGCAGGAGAAGAAGCAAAGGATTCTGGCTATGGTAGCGTGACTCCAGGGAGAGACGCAGCTGATAAAGGGAGCGAATCCTCACTTTTAATGCCGTCCATTCGCGTCCTGCCGCTGTCTTACTCCAGCAAGATATCACATGCACACAGCTCAGCCGCCGGTCTCCTGTTTATCTATATAGTTTTATTACGTAGAGACGGACCGTAGTTTCGTTTATATGACGGACGCATCAGCGATCCGAGATATAGTAAATGGAAGAGATGGAGGAAAACAAGACCCCACTAAATTAAACTGGCGTTGATGAGGAGTGCCTCGATCGCTCAGAGCCGTCCCGCCGGTTTAAACCAATGGCCACTTTATTGATATTCTGACAAGTGGTCACCGAGTGCGACGATTCGGAGACTTCATTCATGTCTACCGCGCGAGACACTCGAGGCGGCTGAGTTTCTGAATCTTCGTCAGTTCAGAGGTGTCGGGGATGAGTTAACCTGGCACAGCTACGTCCCGAGAACCTCAGTACAAGTCATTAATATGGACAACATTAAGAACAATAACAGCAGCAGAAAAGCATCGACAAGTGAATCAACAAGACCGGCCACAGCAGCATCTTCGGATCCTCCCTCAGTGATTGATGCGTAGACGGAAAGAAGTTCAGGGCGTCGTCCACCGACACTCCCTTTAGTCAGTGGAGCGGGTTGGTTGGCAAGCTCGTTCCGCTGGACAGTCAAGACACTGGACCAAGAATACGTGCTTCCGTCCAACGACCACAAGTTCTGGCCGATACACGGCGATATATGCATGCGCATTCACGCACGAACGGCCGGGCCAACCAATTCGTAATGCTGACTAACGACCGAACGCGGAACATCCCGAACTGGATCGTCTCCAGATCTTCTACATCCGTCCCCCAGAGATTGGAACTTTCTCGTCATCTCCGATCGAGAGCAGAATGCTTCGTCCTCCCGATTTTCGATAGTATGTATGTCATCTCGCGCGCAGGGCTTGTCGCTGCGTTTGATCTGATCGTTAAAATGATTGGGCTGCAAGATTGTTGAAGTATGTGGACTACGAAAGGTAGACGACAGTCTACTGTTTATTATACGGGTGCCTATCGACGGAGGCTCGGAGCCATTAAATCGGTGTCGTCTCGTGACCTCTCGGTGTCTGCAGTACTTCCAGTGTTGAGACGCGATAATTTGGGAAAATGCTTCCAGAGACATAAAGTAGATGCGAGAAGAGGGGAGCCTAGAAATATGTACTACGACCATGCCACATGAGTCCAAGATTGACGCGTCAGTTTTTTCCCTCAGATTTCCGCGTGTTCCGCGTCTGGCGCCGCGTTTCACAGATTCTCGCTCTCTCGACATCGATGAAATTCGATAGGTAAGTCCGCGAACAGTGGCCCGGGAGCGGTCAACGGGTGGCTCAGACTAGAAACCCGAGGTGCGGGAAGAGGAAATTCCCGCGACTCGCCCTAACTTCACGCTTAGAAAATGATGGTATCAAGGGGCCGAAAGTGGATAAACTGATAGAATTCGGCCAGCGATCCATAAACCCTTCGGTTGGAGTCGATGAGCGCGACGAGCTCCGAAAGACGTTTTCCACAGTCGGTTATCTCGCGTGCGCTTCGGTGGCTGTCCGACCGCCTCGCCACACCGAGCGATAAAACATCCCCGACGGACGCATGAAATCGATACGGAAAAGTATTCCGTCAAGGGAACATTATCGGTTGACAAACCGTGGCGGGGAAAGTAAAAATGAAGTGGAGAAATCAAATAGCAGACGAACGCTACTGCCTCAGAAGTAAACTCTATCGCATAACGACTACCTTTGTGGCATCGCGTGGCAAGCCCCGATTCCGCCGATCTCAGCTCTAGCGTCTGGTTGTTCCCTCGTCGTATGTTGGCGTTGCTGACGTCGGCCTTGCGTTCCGCTCTTCGCCTACAAACGTGAATGTAGCTTAATGATAGCGAGTGTCCGAGCCACAAATGAAAGGACGGAGTGCGGGTCCCACAACGACGAGCACCAAAGTCTTCCTCGTAGTTTCGATCGGTAGCGCCCTTGTTCTTCCAGCGCGCGTCCCCTCTCTCCGGGGTCGCCAGGCTGTCCGTCGCGGACTTTTCCAGCACGAGAACATGCTCGAAGTCCTCAGACATCCCTGGAAGAAAAACGGGAGTGTAGAACCATTCGCTCTGAATTGTGAAGTGCCTCGGAGGAATTCATATCCCCGAGGTCGAATCGTAGGGGAAGCTCCGTCGTCCAGAAAACTCGACGGGAGGAAACGCTCAAACGTGATCGTCGGGGATGTCACTTCTGCTCCGGTACTTGGTGCTTCAGTCTTGTCGGTAGTTAGCTAGTTTGATGGACGGGCCGCCGCGGTCCTGCAATCGGTCAGCGCAGATAGTCCGCCTGGGTCGGCTCTCCCTCGAGCCGCGTCGCTCGTCGTCTACCGTGGCCGTCCCCTACTTCAGTTGGTCAGAGGATCGTTTTTGTTGACGTCAGGCTGTCATTCGTGATGACCGTCGTTGGCGGCGGCGGGAGCGACAGTCGTCACCGTATACCCTGACTCGGAGCATGCCTTACTGGCTAACGCACGTTTGGAAATTATTATCATTGCCTGCCCGACATTGCTAGAAATGTGACGCATCTCTGTCGGCGCTACTGCGGCCGCCGCTGTTGATGCTTTCATTCTGGCATACGATAGCGACGGTGCCAAAGGCCAACGGACACAAGTAATTTAGACCGAGTTGCCGCACACTCTCACACACATTAACAGAAGCAACCGGAATACTTGTAAAGGCAACGAGCCGATCCAGACGAACTGCAGCGGCAGACACAGAAGCAACGACAACACTTTGACGTTTATTGTTTAATGGAAACGACACTTTGTCGAAACTGAACTCATTCCGATGGAAGCACGTCGCCGAAAAGCGGAGATATGAAGAGAAATTCCTGACCACCGAGAAGAGTGGACTGGCAGACGCGCGACTGCGATGTATCACGCGAAAACGCCGACTTCTGTGAGGAGCTCGTGAAGAGCCCCGAGGGAAGCTGTCCCATGCTGGGAACTTCGTTTCACGAGTCGGATCACCAATTCAGAGATTTGGATCAGAGAGCAATTTCCTCTCCCCGCAGCGACACAATAGCTCGATGTCACGATGGATCTTCTCGGAAAGCGCTCCCACAAAAGAAGGGATACTTCGGGTTTCTAGCACGACCCGTTAGTGCTTGATCGTCTGCTCGGGACTCCGGGTGAAGGGACGAGATGAAGGAACGAGAAGTAATTCATTCACATCAATAATGAAGCATCGCTCGGCCCCGATATGTGAACCTTCCTACACCCAGAGCTCATTGACAGCGGCGAAGGAGTCATTGTTCATCTCGAATTGTTCGAGCGGGTCGTTATTCGCAGGAACGAGAAAGACGTCACGAAGTTCTGCGGGTAAACAGTTCTCGTTTCTCGGATCGATGCTCATTCGATTGGAATGAGGTTCGCGCTACCGCCAGCTCGCGAGCTGGCCCGCTGGTCGGCTCGCCCGTTGTGACGGATATTCTCACGGTATATCACCATGCGAAATCCCGCACGTGATACGCTGACGTAAATAAACTTCACTCGCATCGTCGTATAGCACCAGCTTCCTCTTGTAATGGATCAGATGGGAACTCGCCTCGAGTTTCCGACTTCTGGTGGGATGCCCTTCGCCGGAAACACATGGAATGGAAAAGCCTGCTGAAAACCAGCTTGATCGACTAGGACCTCCTATTTATTTTGCAATAATTGCTGCAACAGGGAGCGATTCTCCTCTGAGAAACACCCGCAAGATATATGACATTCCGATCAATAGTCCATGGTTCCGAGATCATGTGAGGGCTTCATGGTGAAAACTTTATACAACCAAATCGCCAGGATGCTGATCGCTTCGTAGATGAGCAGGAACGACGCTCCAGTAAACATATTCATGAAGCCGCCGACTGTCGAGAGCGCCGCGGTCGCCGTAATCTCCTGACTCTCGATTATGTTACTGATGGCAAAACCGTCGGCGTAGAGCACCAAATTCGCGGTGGTCATCGCCGTTGGGTTCACGCCAATTATTCTCGTGTTCCACGCCATCTGAGAGACCGTCGTTGTGATCTGCACGTCCTCGCAGCGCTTCGGACAGTTACAGACCTTCATCGTGGATTCGGGATCTTCAATTTTCTTCTCACGGCAGCGTTTGGAAACCTCGTCCACGCATATGGCGTCGCTGTCGAGCATCTGTTGATAATCGACGCCTTTGTATAGATCGAGGCACTCGCATTCTTTCATGATGTTGTAGTGTAGGCAAACTTTTCGACAGGCCTGCTCTGAGTACTTATCGTCCTTCGCCAGAAAGGCATTGTACGGCTCGCCCTTTGGCCACGAGGTATGGCAGTTCGAGTCGAAAGGTTTACCCAGGAGGTTGACCTTCTTCATTGAGAATCCCACATAGGTTGTCATCCCGACAGGGATGTAAACTCCGTCCGAGTTGACGTCCGGCAGACGGGAGCGGTCGTGGATCATCACTAGGAATCCATGATTGGTTGAGGCTTTCAGGGTTTGGTTGGGATAGCTCTTCAGGACGAGATCGAGACCAGCTTGGGGGCTGCGTATTTTGGCGAAATCGAGCGAGCTGTCGACCGCAGTCAAGTTACAGAAAAAGCAGAAGCACCTGCCGTACCGGTAAAGTGAATTGATGATGTCCGATACCCACTTAGGAGAGCAAAATTCCCGATTGAACCTACACGAGTGGCCAAGTTCAGGCCACGTGTGCATCGAGGACTCGATGAAGTTCAGCAGAGTCGCGTTCCCGCCGGCTCTGTGTTTGAACCTGCTCATGGCCAGGGCGAATTGCTTTTTATTCTTCGCGAGACACATTTCTTCTCGCTCCGCATAGTACACATCAGCCGGATCGCAGAGCTTGTCGCTCTTGAAGGCGTTCACGTTGCAGATCGTTATGGCAGGGAGCAGTCTAACTTCATCCAGGCTGACGGAAACGATTGTCTTGTACTGTAGGTATTCAGCGACGGACAAACCAATGAAGTACAACATCACAACACAGAGAACTACGAACACGAAGATGTACAAACCCAGACGGGTGAGATTCCCGGAACCGACGAGAACGATTCGGTCGATGCCGGTCAGACCGGCGGCGAACATGTCCACCAGCAGTTTCCACTTGTCATCATCGTGATTCACGGCGAACAGCGAGGTCATGTGCGCCAGGACTTTGAATCTCCCGAAGCGCCGTTTTCGGAGTTTCGGCTCCGGGAGTGTCAGCCGGAGCGCATTCTTCCCATCGCCGAACGCGTCGGCGGCGAAACGAGGGGATACGATCAAGTCATTGAAAATTGTGTGACTTCTGATCCTCGCCAAGCGCGCCTCTCGTGCCTCCATATCGCGACCGCACCTAGAGTCTGCTTTCGTTTAGTGGTCGAAAGTTGACCTTTGGAATTTTTCAAGTTCGCGTCGAAGCTACCTCGCGTGATCGTCTACAATCGGATTTGGGCTTCTCAAATCCGGAAACAACGGGGTGGTCATCGAGAGTACCATTCGCGAGCAGCGATCAATTTGTGTTTCCGAATGATATTGCAGGCGCAGGCGATGATCGGAACTCTTCTCCGCTTCGCGAGGCCAAAGAGTTTATATTCACTTTTTTTCAATTCACTGATCTCAGACCTCAGGAACAAAATGAAGATCGCTCCAATTATCTGCATTATCTTGCTCATCTCCACGAACAAAGCTAGCAGATACGCGGTTTCGCCAGAAAACTTGGATCTGTGGGATGTCGGGCGACTTGCAAAATACTTCAAATTTATCACAGCTCGCCATCATCGAATCGTCGTCCGGTAGCTGGGGACAATTTGGAAAATTATCCGATAAAAACTCTGATTGAAGCGGAAAAGACTGATAAGGGCTCCTTGTTCTCTTATGGTCATTATCAGCATTTTTCTAATCCTTCTGAGACTGTTCGCCATGTTGTCGGCAGCCTTAGAACCAATATCGTTTGGCTCCCGAAAGTTCGAAAAGGAACGATATCCTCAGGAACACGTTGACCGGGGGAACGACCCTCGAAATTCAATGACGGCGAGAATCGACTACAGCGCGTTCCTATGAGGATTCGAAAAAAGCGCCTTCCGCCATGCGCCATGATCGTGCCCGCTCTTTATCATCCGCTCAAGGAGAAAAACGGCTCGTGAGCGAAAAGCCTCAAGAATTTTAGCGGAATAATCCGTCGAGCCGAATGGACTTTCGCAGATTTGTCATCGATCGGCTGGATCTTTGGTTTTCCCTCTGTCTCAGTGTCGATACCCAGAGCTCGGAAAGGTGATATTCGACGAATCATCTCCGTATCATGAATGGGTCAGACATCATGTTCAGCTGCTTCGATCATGATGAGGGAGCTCCGCTAATCTGGAACGTCGCTTTCACTTAGAGCAATTTCGCGTCGGTTCGGGCTTTGAAGACAGCAGAATAACACGACCTCGTCGGAACTTCGACTCACTCTCGGGTCTGATGATAATAAAGCATGAGAATGGAATATTTAAACAACTCTACCGCTCCAACTTTCCGTCTACAGTGGGCTCGAGACAGCGGTCGAGGTGATGCTCCCATCGGATGAGCTTGGATTCCGAGCAGTCCGACACTCCATGGCTCCAACGCATGTGTAGAGAGGCCCATAGCGAATTATTTGAAACTGAGTCGCCCGAAAGACGTCTCTATTATTGTGGCTGATCGAGCAGCGGTCCTGCCAGACTGTGATAAATTTGCTGAAAATTGATTTTTGCTCAAGAATATGAAGAGCGAATGGTTTGATGAATCGCTTTACGCTCACTTCCGTCAGCTCTACTCAAAAGACGAAGGCTCTCCATCTTCCTGACGTAGAGAAGAGTCCGGGTCCGCTTGCTTTTTCAGCGTGAGGAGCGCAGTCTACGGCGATGCCGACAGAAGACAGCGTAGAGCGCCCACTTCGAAGCCGTCGGCGTTCCCGGCGAGCATACAGAGGGCCCCCCATTAATAGAAATCATTTGGCTCTCGCTAAAAATTCCAACTCCGGGAAATACCGAAGTGGGGACAGAGTCTTGACTCCGACCGCGAAAGGTCTCTGGGTCCTCGAATCAATTTCGAAGGGTCTGTGGGGTACGTATAAACAATCGATCGATCGCGCGGAAGGTTAAATCTTTCGGACTTCGAACTTCTTCGGGTACGAGCTGACCGCCCTCGGCTACGGCAACAATAACAAGACGAGAGATGAGATGAGCGATGGTTCCGGCAAGCGGTTGGGAGCGCGATTTCGGACCGGTGTTACTTAGTCCGGAGCAAGGATTACTTGGCTGGCTCCGAGAACGAATTGCTCTGACATTTGACATGAGGCCACTACGGACTTGAGTCGAAGCGCTGCGGGTTCACGCGCTCTGCTCCGAGGTATCGACTTACCGCATCTCAGTGTGACGCCTTCAACCGTGAACCGGCTCACTGTGATCACGGATAGAAACGATAACTGGAGTAGAGCTCGGCTCTGATCGCGGGAGATGATGTTAAAAGATTATCCCCGTTTGATTCGGAACTCGTACTCGCAACGTTCGACGAATACAGTACGATACCGTTTTACGGGAAGTCGCCTGTAGGCCCCTTGAGCTACCAGGAACGTTATCGCCGAGGATGCTCGTCTCGGACCGCCAGCGGCTCGCGGTACTTGAGCTAACTCTGGAGAGAAGCAGGAAAACACGACTGAAGTACTGGCCTACATATTATGTACTTGCGGAGCACTGCGAGATGTCGAATGCGCTCCTTGTCGGAACTCATACGGCAGTAGGTTTACTGATATCGGAAATCTGCAAAATGCTCTGTACTCAATGTACGTCGGAAGTGCGACCCCGGACCTTTAGGAAGCGGAAACCTCTATCGCTCAGTTATAAAATCTACGGGAATCAGACGCCCCATCGGGGGTTTCCGTTTCGTTTTGCCCAGTTGATTGAATCGTGAGAATGCTGTGGAAGCAAACTTTTTCTGATCGACAAAGGAAGCACGGAGAACCGTGCATCGATTATGTCCCGAGACCCACGATACCCCATTGCTCCCACGGTGCAAAGGCTGCGGACTCGACGTTTTTCAAAATGGGAACGACGACTTGGGCTGCGCGAGACCATTTTCGCTCATTAATAGCCACAGACCATTAGATTATGAGCCTTCTTATCTCATGACGTGTGTCTTCAGGGAACTTCCGTGGAGCGGGACAGCAACTGTTGAGCGGCGGTCAGAGCTACATTATACCATTAGAGTCGCGGGTCCCACAGTCCCCGCGTTTGGAATGTCGCCCTGCTCATCGAGTTCCCACGATCCGTCAACAACGCGCGGCCGCAGATGCTCTCTCGAGAGAAAAAGGCTAAACAATTCAAACAAAAATCTCCCCCGTTTCGTTGGATGCTCCAAGATGGAATCTAGCATGCGTCACGCAAGCCTAATCAAGTCCGGGCACTGCGTCTCTATCTGAGTGTCCCCCTTTTCCGCCTATCTGGACCTTTTCGAAAGTCGCGGCGTTTTCCTTGCCCTCTCTGCCACTTCTCCCTCAAACCACCATCGACTCGATTAGCATTCAGTGGAATCCCTTGATTTCATATGGGAAGAATTCAATTCGGGAAGGTGGGGAGAACCCTGTCGACTTAAGTCTTCCCCCTCCCCAAGTGTCTCGAGAAACCCTCACTCTTATATTATGTATATGGCGAATGTGGCTACATGGTGGCGTCTATTTGAATGTGGCGTCTCCCATTTCTTAAGATCGAAAAGTCGCACTGTCATGATCTAAGAGTTTGGCCATGAGAGGAATCCCACGTCCTGCCCAACAGTACGTGAGGGGCTCGAAGCGACTACGAGATGAGCTAGCGCGACAGCCAACTTTTCCCGTGTCTATTGAATTTCACGGGCAATTTCGGCCAAATTTCTGCACACTTCCCTGAAAAACGACATCCGCTCATTTCTCTGAAGAGTCGCAGGGTGCTTTTTCAAGAGAACCATCTTCTCAGTGAGAGGAACGAGAAAAGCAGGAGAGACTCTTATTGTCACATATTCAGGAATGGGAGCGAATTCGCGGCTCTCAAAGCGCCGGAAATCCGAGGGCTTCCCCTGGAGAGACCACGATCCTCATATTCCGCTTACGTATGTACAGCATATCTCAGCAGTGACCACCTGGTCTTCGAAGAATTGGATGCTCGATCAGTCGAACATTTTTCATAGCGATCACAGGTTTTCGTCTCATAATGATGAAAGGGGAATTCAAGTGGATCCGTAGCTTTCATCGTTCAGCAAGAAACGATGATGATCATACAACGGGCTAAAAACTGTGTAATTGCCCGATAATGTTCGACGCAGCTGCAGCTGCGTTAACGGGTTGTAATCGATCAGGGAGGATCGAGAAGTTATAGATTGCGGTTAACTAGAAACGTAAATAAATTGTTTAGCAGCCGCCGTTCGTGAGCGAGCGAGCGATCGACAACATCGTCGGTAACGACCCAGATGAACGGACGTCCATG